CATACTCCTTGTACACTTGAAAAAAAGTCTTTTTTCTTGTGTTATCAGATTTGTTCACTAAGTCTATTCTTCTGACTCCTAATGATGGAGTTCAGTGGCAACAGAACTCAATGTATGTAAAGAACATAGTGATGTGCCATTTTAAGTTTCTCTCCAAAAATAAACAATGTTAATTTGAAACAAAACAAGGCCTCGCAATTCATTTAACATAATCAGTTTGTTTTAAAAACAAACTCGTCAAGCAACTACAAAACTCCTCCTTACAGCGTGTGTGTCTGACAGTTACAGCTCTACTAACCATAACAGCACAACGCTACTAGGGCTCCTTTGATCCGAGGAGCTCAAAATACTTTGTCAACATTTACAAACGTGACAAGCACTATCACGAGCTTCACCCAAAGCCGGGCGGCTGCGTGGGACAGCAACAGAGAACTAGATAGGCAACAACCCCGGAGTGGCAGCACCGCGGACTCTGTCGCAGCTTGGCTGAAGTAAAGAGCGCGGTTTTTAAGCCATTCTGAGGGCGGGGCTGACTTCAAGAGAAGCTGGGAAACGCGGGCTGTTCCCGCAACGCATCCCCTGCCCACCTCCCTGCAGAAGCAGCGAGGCCTGATCAGCCCGGAGCAGGGACGAGTCCAGCCCTTGCTTCCTCTTACACATTGTTCTCGGGAATTGGCGCCTGTGCGTTGGCTTCACGTCACCCCGGCCACGGGCCCAGCCGTTCCCCCGCCAGCGCGGGGAGTGACTCGCTCACGTCACAGGCCCGGGTACGCGCTCCTCGGAGCGTGCTCTTGGATCCCAAACTGTCCTCGGGCTCCGCCCTACGCGCGGGGAACAACCGGGGGCCCGGTTCTGGGGGCGGGCGAGGGCCCAGGCAGGACATCGGGGCCCAGCCAGCTCTCAGGGCGACACCGGGGCTGTCTGAGGGAAGGAGCTGGGACGCGAGGGTTCAGCCCGCGGGGGCAAACGCCAACTCCCCCGGTGCGGATCGAGGGGAAGCCCGAGGCCGGTCCTCACCAGGCCGCCCGCAGCAATGCCTTGGTGGGCAGGAAGCTCAGGATCCGCTCCACCACCTCAGCCAGGTTACTCAGCACGTAGGCCCCTTTGCCGTCTGACTCCATGGCAACGGCCACCCACGCCTCTGCTCCCGGCGCCTGCCTCGCGCACCAAGAAGCGGGCTAGGAGCCGGAAGGTCCTGGCAGCGGCGCATTCCGATTGCGTCATCCGCACAGACCCCACTTCCGTTCTCCGCCTCCAGAGCACGTGACCAGCCACAAAACGCTTCCCTGGTGTGTAGATGGTGCGTGTGCCGATTGGGCGGCTAACGTCTGCGTAGTGACCACGTGACATTACGACAGACGCTGGAGCCGTGACTTCCAGTTCTTGGCGATGGGGGCTGGGGCATATGTGACTGATCCAGCCCGGAGAGCCCTGGGTTCGGTTCCCTGCTCAGCTATGGCCTTCATGTCTGACCTTGGGCAAGTCTCTTAGCATCGCCGTGACGTCTGTCCAGTTGTACTCTGGGGATAGCAGCAGGGCGCGGCCCCACAGGGGCTGAGGACAAATACCTTAAGGTTGTGGTGTGGTTTGTTGTTAACGCTCCCGGGGGAGGGAGAGACAGCTATGCCTCTGCCTGCGCCTGGGGAGTGGGGCTGGGTGGAAGCAGTTTTAGAATTAGAGAGTAGTGGGGGGGGTGTGGCAGCCTAAGCCCCAGCCTACAAGAGCAAACAGGCCTTAGGAGCGTGCAGTGCCTCATGCCTGGATGTCCTCCCTTTACATCCTGTCCAAGCATTGCACTGGGAAAGGGGAATCTATCAGCCATGGGTCAGACCACTGGCATAACAAGAGTCCAGCCTAAAAGCTGCATTAACTGGGCCTAGAACAAGTGGATTGATGTGAGAAAGTAAAAGCTACACATTCTCCTCTGCTCCTCAAAAAAACAAAACAAAAAAAACCTACCACACCTTCCTGCCTCAAGGTGTTTGTTCCAGGCTCAGTTACATATATAAGTAAGTGATTTTAAGGCACCGGCTGTATGTAGCTGGATTAGAGTTGATCAACTGCCCTTCTCAACCTAAGTGAATAAGAAAAACGGACACAAACCTCCAGCAGCACATCTTAAGGTAAAATTCTCCCTACCCCACACAACATTTTACTTTAGAGAAGTAACTGTTAAGCAAGCCAACTGCACAGTTCTCGGGGGGGAATGAAAAAAAATTTAAAACCACATACAAAAAAAGCAGGTAAAAGAGATTTGGGCAGCTGTAGTACCAAGCACTGCTTTTTAAGTGTTCTTTTAGAAACCTGAAGAAGCTCTGTTTAGCTCAAAAGCTTGTCCATCTCTTCCACCAACAAAAGATGTTCCAGATCTCTCACACCTTTTCTCTCTCATATACTAGGACTAACACAACTAGGACACTGTAAACAACTTTCAGAAATGGTCAGCAGTTTCTATGTTAATGTCCCTTTAATGCAGGAGATTTCTATATGGAGAATAAGACTTGAAAGTTACTTTAGTGTCACCTATATTGAAGGTGACATTTCCTCTACCCACATGCAGCTCAAACTGCTGAAGATAGAACCATTTTTGTCCTAGACTCCCGTATGACATTGCCACTGTAAGTTAAAGTAGAGTTGAGGTGCACTCTAATGCATTTTTAATTCTTTAGGTTTAGAAAGATTTTCCATTTTTGCAAGGTAAATGAGGATCAAACTCTCATATGCTCTTACTGCAAAACAATTATTTTGTTTCCTGTTTCTGATTTAGATTGTGAACTCAAGGCTGGGATTGTGTTAGTTGTTTGACAAAGGGCAATTGTGGGGTAGCCTAGCATTCAGTGCTGTCTGCTTCTATTTACCAAATGAGGCAGGTTTGGCTACATGGCTAATGATTTTCAACTCTGTCTGATTGTGATTGTGTAGGCTTTTGGCTTTCCTAGCATTCACTCAAGATTAGAGGATTAGATGAGGGCTGGTATGGGAGGCTTGATTCCAAGAAAGTTAAGGTGTTTGGAGGAGGAGGAAGATATTCAGAGAAGTAGAAGATTGAATCTGATTGCATTCCTCCCATTTGCTCACTTGTTGGTTAACAAGACATGCAGTTTGAAGGTCCCATTGACCTTAGAGGGTAAAGTAGCAGCAGTGAATGAGTATTCCTCCTCTGTGGCTGCGCAAGTCCATTTCCCCCTTACCCCCCAATGGGCCTTACTACCAGTGATCCATGTGATTTTTATACTTTAGATTATAGTGTACTTTATGGGGCCATACCTGAAGTCCACTTCATCTAGTGCAGAATGCATTGGTCTACATACTTAGTGGTGCTTTTCATACGAGCATTTTACACTCATGAACCTGAAATCCAAAGAGGTTTTGACCTGTTGACCAGTTTTTCCTTGTATACATTGCATTGGTTGGGAACACACACATGTTCATGAACAGAAAGCTATCTATATTCAAAGACTAACCACAAACAGAATAATTCTTAAAATGGTTCTTTATTCATAAACTTGATGCAAGTTTACAAATTACTGTACATTGCCAAATAATTCTGCAATGAAAAATGAAATCCAAAACAAAGCATGCCAAATGTGCATCTGTCAACCTGCTAGCCCATTAGAATATTAAAGAATTCAATAATGTATTCAAAGATTTTAGCCTCAGGTTTTAAGGAACTTTAATGCTTAAAGAGTTCTGCCTTTCACTTAAGGTTGCTATCTGAGCAATTGGCTATCAGGATTGTATACGAATATATGTACAACCAAGTAAGCAGAAAGGCTGGCAAGTCATCCACTATACTCCCTAGAAGACTATTTGAAACAAAACAGTACGTATCAGGAGTAGTGCCAAATTCCTTCAATCTGTTCTTTCAAGCTAAAAACTGGATCTAGAAGCAAATGCACAAGGGCCCATGGGTGCCTGATAGAGAAAAGAAAAGCACAAATTTGATAGTTGTAACTAAAAACAAAAAAAACCCACATGCTTCTGGGCTAAAAAAAGTGCTTAATCCATGGTACACACCCTTATATCAATCCCTGGCAGTACAAAGGTCTAATCACTAATACTACAACCAAAATAGAATTGATTTAGGTAAGGCAATGAAATATAGTAATTACACAGACCCAGATTCATTTCCTAATAATGAAAGAATAGTTCCTGTTAGTCTTTCAATAACAAAAAGCACTGTCATGACTATGGCAACATTATTTTTACAACTCAATCAGGTGATGTCTTTTTTGTATTTTATTGTAGCTTTTATATAAAAACTTTTGTTCAAGGATTTTCATTTTGATTTGTGCCAATCACTTTATAAGTTCATTAGTTTACAAATGATTGCAACAACCCGTTAATAAAATGGAACACCTAAAAAGATTTTTAGTATCTTAAATAACTTCAAGCTTCATACTGTGGCTCCTTTTGTTAAGTAGCAGAAACAGCCCAGCAAGATTCTGATGCCCCAGTGGAAGTGACTAGTTACAAGGTTTTATTGGCACAGCCTTGCTCTGCTTAAAAATACAACAATCTAATAAAGAGTATCTCTTCCAAGAAACAGTTCATATCCTCACACAGCCATGAAAAAAGTTTTAATGACTTAACATACATGTTGTTTTCCTATATTTTTAATTTGGCAATACTACAAATGTTTTCATTTTAGACCAGAAAAACTACTGTGATATACAAGACCTGAAATTTCCTAAAACAGTATTAAACAATGTATTAAACGTTGTTGGCTTTAAATGAAACATTACAATGCAAGTCTCTGCAGTCCACATTCTGCAAAAGGTAAGAAGTAGTGAGTGACTCCTATTGAATGATCTTTTAGTAACTCAATAGCCAGCTTTAAAAAGTTTGCACTTTTAAACAAAAATGGAGAAGGAAGGGAGTGGCCCAAATATGCTTAATCCATAGGGACAAATACAGTAAAGGCCAAAACTGCTCAGTCCAAGATACCTAATAAGAGCAAAATGGTAAGGCTGTAAATTATACTGGATGTGTCAGTTGACAGATTATCCACTAACTTATCTAATAGCTAAAGTCTTCAGTACGGCTGTTATAGGGGCACTCGTAGCTTGAGTCTGTGTGTGTGTTGGAAAGAAATAAAAAAGAGCTGTTTGACATTGGTCCAGGTGTACAACAGTCCACAATATTAACCATCTTCTTTTGGAGGAGTGTACCAGCCTATAGAAGAACAAAGAAACACATTAGGCACTCTTAACTTTAGTGGGAGACAGCTTTAGGCTCTATTTTGATGTATAATTAAAATTTAAATTGTATTTGAAAACTAGACCAATCCACCACAGACCCAAAACTCCTATTGATTTCAGTGGGAGTTAAAGCACTCATCACCTTGCAAGATCAGACACAGTATTTATATTTGAAAATAAAGCATTAACATTGAGCTCCTGTTAGCGGCAGCCATCCTGCTGAATTAGACAAATCTTAAGACACCAATATAGACTGCAAAGAGTAATGTGATCTAGTTTCCATCTGCTTAAGACAAAGGCCCAGATTCTGGGATGTATTAGCAGGAATGTTGTAAGCAAGACATGAAAAGTAATTCTTCCACTCTACTTAGCACTTACAAGGCCTCAAAACTGGAGTATTGTGACCAGTTCTGGGCATCACACTTCAGAAAAGATGGACAAGTTGGAGAAAATCCAAAGGAGAGCAACAAAAATGATTAAAGATCTAGAAACATGACTATGAGGAAAGATTGAAAAACTGGGTTTTAGTCTGGAGAAGAGAACATGATAACAGTCTTCACGTATGTAAAAGAGTGTTATAAAGAAGAGGGTGATAAATTGTTCTCTTTAACCACTGGAGACAGGACAAGAAGTAATGGGCTTAAAATTGCAGCAATGGAAATTTAGGTTAGACATTAGGAAAACCTTCCCAATTGTAAGGGTAGTTAAGCACAGGAATAAGTTACCTAGGGAGGCTGTGGAATCTCTGTCATTGGAGGTTATTAAGAACAGGTTTAGACAAACAGCTGTCAGGCATGGTCTAGATAATAGACCATCCCCCCCCCCGGAGCACTGTTTTATCGCATTATATCCGAATTCGTGTTATATACGGTCGCATTATATCGGGGTAGAGGTGTATATGCATATGAATATCCTATTTTGCAAGTACATGCTCAACTTTTGCACAAGTGTTTGAAAATATAGACCAAGATGTTCCTGGTGTTACACATCTGTTTCATCCCGCTGAGGACGGAATGGGAATGATGAACTGTAACAGCAAGTTCAGAAATGCCAACTAAGCAATTTACCTCTCAATACATATTTCAGTTGCTACATACCCAGAATAACTTCTGATCATGTGAAGGTTCAGTCTGTGAGACCAAAGTGTGCACTTTTTTTTTTAAATGGACACTGCTAAAATCAAAGTATCTATTTAATTCTATCCACCATGCTAGCAAAAGTTTTAAGAGATCTGCCTCAAATTTTGTATGATTAGTACAGTGCCTACTTAAGCTGTTCCTGTGTACCTATAGTAGCCATAAGTTAACAAAGAAGCCTTTAAACATCTTTAATACTGTGAATGCTTTGTATATTGGTAATCAGTGTAGTGTATAGGTAGAACTAAAACAGAGCCATATTGACTTTTTTGAATAAAAACAACCAAAAAGCTCAAGTAATAGCAGCTAATCATAACATTTCAAAGTGCTTTAGAATCAACTATTTCCAATACACATCTCTTCCTCTGATACAGAAGACATACTTATTGTACAGATGTGCACCTCAGTTTCCCTGAAAAACATATCCAAGGTCCAACTGAGACAGAGCTCTCCCAGTACCAGGTTTTAACCACTGGACACACCCTGTCCCTAGATGAAGATTCTTTGATAAATAAGTCAGCAAAGCAAGACAGTATAAATAATAGATACAGTAATCCCTCACTTAAAGTTGTCCCGCTTAACGTCGTTTCGTTGTTACGTTGCTGATCAATTAGGGAACATACGCATTTAAAGTTGTGCAATGCTCCACTCTTACGTTGTTTGGCTGCCTGCTTTCGCCACAGCTGGCAGCCTCCCCACGTCCCCCTCCCCCACCTCCTGCCCACGACAATCAGCTGGCTTGCGGTGTTTCGGAGGCAGGAAGGAGGGGGGAGGTGCGAGGACTCAGCACGCAGGCCCCCCTCCCTCCCCTACACGGCAAGCCAGCTGATTGCCCCAGGGCAGGAGGCGGAGAGAGGAGCGAGGACTCTGCGCGCCTCCCCCCTCCCTCCCAAATGCGGCAATCAGCTGGCTTGCGGCGTTTAGAAGGGAGGGAGGAGGAGCCAGGACGCAGCGTGCAAAGTAAAGGGGGAGGGGGGGGGAGAAGAGGCGGGTCAAGGGTGGGGGCATGGGTGGAGTGGGTGGGCTGAGGGTTGAGCCCCCCCGCCCCTGGTGCTTGCAGAGTAGGGAAAACTGCCCTGGAACCTAGCCCCCCCATTTACATTAATTCTTATGGGGAAATTGGATTCGCTTAACATCATTTCACTTAAAGTCGCATTTTTCAGGAACATAAACTACAACATTAAGTGAGGAGTTACTGTACTTCTCTTTGTAAGAGCCTTGTCAACTTTAAAAATAGTTGACAAGTCTAGGAGAATCGTCTAGTTGCAAAACAATGCCAAATCATGATGTGGGATATTGGGAGCAGATAACTGATCTAGGTGGCTCACTCAAGCTGGAAAGTAGTAATACTAATTTCTAGAGGGAGCCATGTCCACCTTACCACACAACAAGTGAACAGCAACACCAGCTGGTGGCAACTGGTTTTGTATGGGGGAAAGCATACCTCCCCGCCTTCAGAGCCAGAACAGTTTTCAGGCTACACGTTTTAATTTGTACTTTCCATGTATTTTCAACCTTTGATCCTCCCTTCTACTTCATTCTCTCATTGATTATTGCTTTCACTTGTCTTGCGCTATATTTAGATAAGCTCTTTGGAGAACGGAAGAGTCTATTTGCTAGAGAAGCATCTAAACATTTCAGGCATAACAAAAAAAAAAATTCTGGATAATCAGGGTGGAAACAAAATGCAAAACAGGCCCTTCAATGCATGGGAAGAGGTATAGGCCATTCTTGCTTTATCCCAAATAAACCAGGTAAAAGTTTGTATTGTATGGCAATTATATTAGTTTCAAGAATTATTATCTTTTCCATGCCACTGTGCAATTTGTACAGACAAGAACATACAAAATTGCAAAATGTAAATATTTACATACCATTTTTCTCATGTATTTGTACTAGAGACTTATAGGACTGCTGTGCTCTTGCTAGATTATATTGGTTCTGAAAGAAAAATAAGTCATTTAATACTACCATCAGGAAGCGACACCAAGTCACTTAAGCAAAATACCATAAAGTAACTGTTTGAAAAGTTAGACAGTATTGTAAGTAGAACAAAAAAAATGTCTATTAAGAGGTGCCATGCAAGAAAACAAACTGCAGTCTTAACCTGCAAAATCCATGGCCTCGGGGACTGAAGAGTTGGCTCCCATCATACTAAAAAGCCATGTACAGTGGCTGTGTGATGGGACTTGCTAACTGATAAAATACAGGGCTTCGGGTTTCAAAGTGCATTGTATTAAAGTGCTGTTCTTGCACCTAGCATATTTCACGTCCCCCCCCTAAAAAAAGACTATCTTAAGACATTGCATTCTGAATCATGTACAAGTTAAAAAATATTTTTCCATAGTACCAATACAGGCAAATATTAGGACAGTAATGGTATGGCTACACTGCAATAAAAACACCTCTGGCTGGCCTGTGTCAGCTGACTTGCGCATGAGGGGCTCAGACTGCAGGGCTATAAAATTGCAGTGTAGACCTCTGGGCTCAGGCTAGAGCCTGGACTCTGGGACCCTGAAAGGGGGAAGGACCCCAGAGCCGGGGTTCCAGCCTGAGCCTAGACATCTACTCTGCAATTTTAAAGTCCCGCAGCTGGGGTTCCAGACAGCTGGCAAAGGCCAGCCACAGGTGTTTTATTGCAGTGTAGACATAACATTTCATAGATGAATGACTTTTAGGGTAAGGGACATTCCAGGTGGATAGATTTCAAAAGTCAACCTACCGAACATGTTTAAAAAGATTCTTACTGTCAAACTAATTAGCCATCTTCCACACAAAGCTTGTAATATTAAATATCTGGCTCGGAGGGTGAAAAATTATTTTTAAAAAAGTGGAGCAGGCAGAAGTGCAAATGGCACAGTTTGCATGCACCCAATATCAGAAATGCCTCCAAAGTTTGCAGGCTCACAAATTTGAGATGGTTCACAAATTTGTGCTACAGTTTGGAGCTGTGAGGCCTAAATAACCTGCAGACCCTAGAACTCCACTTGACCATAGCAATGCACATCTGATCAGTGTTAAATTAGAAACATCCTAAGACAGACATGATGGAAATTAAATGTAGGTTGATAAGAACAGCAAAACTGCTTAACTTTTAACAGTCAATGGACTGGACCAATAGGACAGCGGTCTCCTACCAAAGGGCAAGTAGAAGCAATGGGTAAAATGCATTTTAAGGGTGCCTAAGTGATCTAATTCATTCATAACTTAAGCCCTTACGAAAGGTCCATGGGACTTAGAATTAAGTGCCTAAACCACCTTGAAAGTGGGACCTGGGTAAACATTTTTAAGAATACCTAACAACATGGTTTGTCTCTTGTTTTATGGTGAATTACTAGTCTGTTTCTATGCATACATTATTAAAACACAGAGCAGGTGTCCCCTTAATAGTGGTAAGGTCAGACAACTTTTAGAGTCACATACAAAGATCTATGATAGTTATTTCATTAATTTTTCATCCTTTATTAAAATATTATTTAGTGTTTACCAAAAAGCTTTCTTCAGATACTTTTTCTCAACTACCCAAGAGAAGGCAAAAAGTTGTTTAAAGTTAGTTTGGATACAACAACCTCCCTGTACCAGAGTGACATGCTCCAGAATCTTGCATAGGGATGCAGGGCTCCTCACTCATCCTGGCATGAAAATACAGGATGGATTCAGTTAGCACCAATCAGAATTTAAGAAGGGTTGGAGCCTGTCCTCAGGAGCACAGAGAACTAGGGACAGAGTGACAGACCACTGGTAGGGAAAGTCTTAAGAAGAGTCAACCTTGGGAGAAAGTTCAGGCTGAAGTTTATGTTGTATTAAATTACTAATAGAAGCCAGAAAGAGGACAGTAGGAGCTTCACCTGCTTCTTTGACCCTTCCATGTAAAAAAAAAAAATATTTGTCCTCTGGCCCACACACATTGTTCATTTCCAGCAAACTAGCCACAAATACACCAATATGTTTCAGCACACAAAAAGTGAACCAAAAGTTTATATGGACCTTAATTTAATCTTTAAATTTATATTTGAGCTTTCTATAAGAGTCAACATAAAATGGAAAATAAAACAAGTATCTACCCACAACACAAAAATCACTTCAATAATTATACATAATATATTTACCTTATTGGCTCCAAACTGTACTCTGGCTTTTCCTTTGACTAAAGTGGCATTGATCTGCATGATGACCGATTCTATTGAATAGGCACTACTCCAGCCCTAAAGGAAGAAGGAAATACTTCTACAGAATATGTGCTTGTATTCTTACGCTCACCTTGCAAATCCACTCTGGAAAGTATGTTTCTTTTTGCTAAACTCTAGCAAACCATGGTATTTTTGGTTAATAGCTTTTAAAACTATAAAACAATTAGTTATTCCCAAGAGAAACACAAGAAACTAAAGTAAACTATGTTAGCATAAAGAGCTTGTAGGAAAAAGGAAAAAGCCAAGTTGCACACATTTCCAGAATCTGGTAAGACAAAAAACAAAGAAAAACACAACTACATTATAGAATTCTACTCATTTTCAGCTAGCTTTACAATAGCAATTACAGCTTTAAAAGACTGCTTTTAATGACTCAATTAAGCAATTAAATGAGCAAAAAGATCTTGTTTCCACACAGCTGGGCAGCCTCTCTGGCACTGTTTTACCTTTCCAGGGTTCACACAAGTCTCTACTAGACTTTTACAGGAGCTATATTTGTAGGGGAGATGCTGTCCACTGCAATCTTCTTTCCATAGGCAGCAGCTATCTACTCCTAAATTAAAGCTGCTTCAAGCAGCATTCACCGAAGCTCAGCACCTGCACCCCCATATCAGATTTTGGGGGGCAGCTACTAGGGTAGAAGGTGTGGGGGGGCTTCAAAGGAGCAGGACAAAGTGATCTCGCCTTTTACTGGACCTGGGGTTCCCTCTCTCACAGACTCCAGGAATCCACCAAGTTTGGGATGGGGAGAAAGAACAGCACTTCCTGTTTCCTCTCCCTCCCCAGTCCCTCCGCGGTGAAGAGGAAGATCTGATGCAAGTTCAGTAAGGTGACCCTTACAGAGCTCAAGCTTCCTGGACCTTGTTCCCCTACAGCAAGCATGTCCACAGGAATGTATGATTTGGCCCTTTGTTCGTAACAGGCGGTGGTGTTTAAGCTCACATACAAAAACACCTTCTTATTGCTATTCTTAAGAAATACTATTTGTTCTAGTCAGGATGCTAACTGCTATTACAATCACTTTCTCCCCCCCCCAATCTAAGCATTGCACCCTTCCACCATTACTCTTGACAATTAAAAAAACAAATACACAAAGAAAATACAAAAGATTTTGATTTTATATTCACCTGTTTAGTAAGAAGTTCCATGCATAATGCACCCCCACCCAGGACATACCTAAAAATAAATGTTAGATTAGAAATTTTGAATTCAACGTGGCTTTTATTTGGCATCTTTCAAGACCAGTTAGTAAAGAGATTACTATGCAGTCATACCCTCAGGCTGTTATGAGTTAGTCTGTCACACTGTTTGCTCAGCTATAAAAAATTAGCACTTTCAAGGGCAATATATTGCAGTATGTTAGCTATATACATTTATTTATATAGAGCAGAATGATGTCTAGAGACAAGAGAAACTAATTTGCTTTGTCCAACCACAAGGAAAGTCTTAGTGAGAATCAGTGACAGCTAGTCTGGACAGTTTACACAGTCAGAATTGAAAAATGTGGCAGAGGGATGCTATTTTTGAGGGCTCTATTGTAGACATAGTACAAATGGATAGTTTTTTAGAGTTACTTCCAAAAAGGAATGTAACACAATTCCAGCAACTTTACAAGTATGTGCAATGGCCTCCTCTTCACAGAAGAGACAGGCAAGAGGGGCATTCATTATTTAATCTTAAAACTCACCTTCTCAAGCATTTTGTCACTTCTAAACCAAATAACTCCTCAGCATGCACTATACATACTGCGAAGTCACTCTGAATGAACATCAGCAATTCACAACATGCCAGGGCAACAAAGGGAATGGGATGAAGTAACAGGAGTTTTAAGCCCACAAAGTGCAGAATGTTCTCCTTCATCTGGACTATCAGGAGCATGCTGGACACATTTCCGAAGCTGGAATTGTGTTACATTCCTCTGCGATAGTCATGAAAAATCTAGACCTTTAGAGCTATTAACCTTTTCTTTACCAGCAATTTTGCATCAGGAAGAATCAGTTTAAGGAAGAGAGTGCGCTTCTAAATGGGTAATGAATGCACTGTTTTCATATTACTTTTTATATATTTATTTGTTGACAGCAGCAGTCATGTCTACAATTCAAAATTACTATTTCTCGAATTAAGGTTGACAATAGGCTACGGCAGAGTCAGAATCAGTTTCCACTAAATTCATAAATTTTTTTAAATAAGAACTGTCACTTACCTTCCTACAACACTGATGCCGAATTCCATCCCATCCCAATAAATATCTTTAAGCTTCCCCAACACCGCCCAGCCAATGTACTTCAGTAATACTCTAAAGGAATCATCCTTAGGAGTAAGAAGGTCATCGTCATCAAGTTTAATGCTTCTGGGCTATGTTTGCACTAACTTTTGCCCTAAAACTCCCCACTGTTACAGAGATGCAGCTCCACCAGTGTGAAAACCAGTACAGACTGGCCAGCAGCGTTATAACCACCATGTCATCTGCTCTGAGCACAGCAGGATTAAATCACATGGAGGTAACGACACTGGCAGTTATCCTTACTGTTACACCTATCATTGCTACTGCCAACGTCAATAGCAGGAAGTTCTAGGGAAAAGAATTAGTGTACACACACACTTTGCAACGTCACAATGGACTAAACCAACACATTTCATATAGGCAGCTAGCTGGAAGCTACTTTAGCTCACTGGTTTGAATTAGCAGTGATTGAGAAGCAAGTCTCGGTGTCTGTCTGTCTCTCATTTCCTGAGTGTTGTCATAGTCACCTATCTGACAGCAGTTCACCAATATACATTGTGGGGTCTTGCCTTAAAATCCAGTTGTAGTTCCCAGAAATCAAGGGTGTCTTCAGCATAGTTTCTACTACAAAACCTTTTTATACAAGTCAGAGTTTAAAAAAAAACAAAAACAAAAAACAAACTTACCCTCCTGTGAGCACAGGAGATACCACTCGCACAAAGGGTGGATCAAAAGGAAAATTATCCTGAAAAGCACAACAAAGTATAGAGTTAAAAGCTATGCTGCAACACTGATTTCGAATAAGAAAAGGATATTTCAATTTATTCTTTGGGCAATGCATAGTTTATAGAGTTTGAAAAGTTAAATCTTCATCTTGCATTCACGTAGAAGTTTACATTACTTCTACCAGAACATCAGCCTTGGAATGTGACAGTACAGTAATATATTAAAAATCGTATCTGTTTTTGAAAGCTATACCATCATCCTTCAAACAGAGCAGTGGTTCTCAAACTGTGGGTCAGGACCCCAAAGTGGGTCGCCACCCCCTTTGAATGGGGTCGTCATGGCTGGCTTAGATTTGCTGAGGCCCGGGACCAAAGCCTGAGCCCCACTGCCCAGGGCCGAAGCCAAAGCCCGAGGGCTTCAGCCCTGAGCAGCAGGGCTCAGGTTGCAGGCCTGCTGCCTGGAGCTGAAGCCCTTGAGCTTCAGCTTTGGCCCCCCCGCCTGGGGCAGTGGGGCTTGGGCAGGCTCAGACTTCAGTCCCCCTTTCTGGGGTTGTGAAGTAATTTTTGTTGTCAGAAGTGGGTCGCAGTGCAATGAAGTTTGAGAACCCCGAAATAGAGCACATGGCCTACTACCATTTTAAATGATTTCTACATCCAGATAGTAAAAATTTCCTCTCAGTACTCTACTGATACTCATTTACCTTAAATGAGAAGTTGAGCAAAATGTATTCTACACCTTCTTTTTCTTTTAAGACCTGAAGATCACTATGTAACGGGCTGTCAGGATCAACTCTAGGAATTAAACAGGTGGGAAAAGCAAAACAGAATGAAATGAATCATTTGGCTTTCTATAGAAGAGAAATTACCCTTTAAGAGTTCCTTTATCTCCTTTAATGTTCTTGCAGTTTCAATTAACTTTTACAATTCTTAATCAAAGCACAAATGCCAGGTAAACACTCTGCAGTTGAAAGTAGCAGCAAGAAGATTCACTGTGATGTATCATGTTCTTACCATATTTATGTTATTCAAGGATTTGAAACGCGGACATTCAAAATAAAAAACCCTTTTGTTTGAAAATAGTAATTCATTTTCTCGTCACTGAAATTTGGTGTCCTTCTAAAAGTTAAATGCTTTTAAATGAAGAGATTTTTACACTCGTACTCAAACCTTCAATGTTTACTAACTGAACGAGTTACATTTGATGTATAGTGCAGAGTTCTAGATTACCACCGAATCAGAAATTCTACATCTGTGGCATTAGTAAAGCCAACGGTCTTTGCTATCAGCACAATTTCAACAACCCTGTTTGTTGGCAGACACTGATGGCAGGATTATAAATAGCTAGCAGCCTGGTTATCAATTCTTGCAGTGCTAGGTTAATCCTACCTCAAGAACTGGCATCCCAATAAACTTTTTAGTAAGAACACAGACACAGTCCCTTCCTTGTAAGTTTGGTTACATATGTGCTGGATGCATCAAGCACTTTGCTGAAGACCATAGATATTCCACTGGAAGCCAGTAGCACTTCTCTGAATGCCTACAACCACACTAAGGCTATGTCTACACTGATAAGTGAGTGACAATTTTGTCTTTCAGAGGTGTTAAACCCCCAGAAAGAGTTTTGCCACGACAAGGGCCAGTGTGAACAGAGCCTTGTCAGCAGGAGAACGCAAATGCCACTTGTTGCGGGTGGAAGATTTTTGACGGCAGGAGAACCGACAAACAGCGGCTATACTGCCCGACTTTTAGCGGCATGGCTGTAGCAACACAGCTGTGTCGCTAAAAGCTGTGTAGTGTAGACAAGCCCTCAAAGAGGGAAACAAGGCTTGTGCTCATGGCAGCTGGGGGTGGGTCAGTGATCCATCCAGAGAGGGTGTTCCCTCAAGCAGTTGTTCTGTGTGTCCATGCAGTTCTGGGAGAACCTCATAGCAGTCTGATGGGATCCACTCCATCACTTCTAGGGGACAGATGTAACTAGCTTGGTTTGGGGTATGTTTTTCCTTTTTTAGAGGTTAATCTGTAGGTTAGCATGTTACCCTATCACCAGGGATGATTTCAAGGGAACAGCTCTGGGAATATTTTTTAAGGTAAAGATATATACATATTAAAAGTATAGATAAAATAGTAATTAAAAGTATAGATGTGTCAGTAGTATTGGCCAACATGTGTAGTAAAAAGCTTAAGATTTTCAATCTTGTTAACATTTCACAGTTCACACACAGGTGATTAGGACTATATCCTGGAATTGTATTTTTTTTCATTTTAGGCATATGTCATTGTTGAGTCATAAAAATAAAAGCTGCTAATGCCAGTAAAACAGTTCTGTTCTTTTGTATAACTCAAAAAGGATCAAAACCTATTTATTCTTCAAGTTAAAAAATTATTCAGTACGACAGGTTCACCATTTTGTAAGGGTTTGGGGAGAGAATCTTGGTGGTCAAAAATTATGGTAAAAGAGCACTGGTTTGACAGTGTAAATTCAGGTATATTCTGTGCCAGCTCTACCATGCAGTTCAGTTCAGTCTGCATTAAATTCCAAAGCCCTCTATCCAGGAAGCCTTCATAGTACATTCTAGCTAGACAGTGTCAATTCCATATTGTAATCCGTGTAGCAGCATTAAAATGGGTTCTTTAGGAGAGAGAGTTTAAAAAAAATGTAAACTTACTTTAGAAGTTTAACGTGCCACTCATACAGGCTGTCATTTACAAGTTCCACTGAATAAATCCCTGTGGAAGTATTAGACAAGTTATTTAGGAACCAGAATGTATTGTTCTGAATTAACTGTGTAACACCATCCCAAACAGATTATGTTTTATCATCTTTAATAAGGAAAAGCATATAAAATCTGTTATATCCTTTTAAGTGCCTGACCAGGCCAGTTTGTGGCTATAAGCAACGATTAATCTATCGGATACATCAAGGGATAAGACCCTCAATTCAAGATGTGCTTTCCCTTAGATAACCATAAGTACTTTCAGAATAAGGTTACAAAAACTATCTGTATCTCCTAATAGTTTCAAATGGGAATACCACACAAATCAAGGGTGTCCTTTCCCATTCTAGAATTTTTCTACTTCTGTTTTCTTCATATTTCCTAACATCTATAGCCACATCTCATTCAATGCTGAACAGGCTTCATCTCCTGTACGTATGCACAAAGATTAGTATTATGCACGTTAATCCAAACCAACAATTTCCTAATTTGCAGGTGGGGGCTGATCCAATCAATGTTGCCAGAAAGGTAACCACTGAATAGAAAATAAAAAAAGGGGGTTGCTATCACAGTGGGTAGTGACAGACACTCCAACAGCAAACCAAAAGGATGTCAGTCTCTGGCAGCCTGTAAACGGCATGATTTGGGACTCTGATCTGTGTATGTTTAAACTGTTTATTGTACAAATTAGAATTACAGATTATACTGAAAATGTGCCTGCTGCCTTACATAACTAAACTTCACCATAGCATTTTAAAGGAGTCAGTATATTAAGTACAGGGAATACATAAACAGTCAAGTAAACCTTTTACCGTATAAGGCAAGACTGGTATGTTTTTAAAGATGTAATTTTTATATGGATAATAATCACATAATGACATAGGCAGGAATAGTCTGAAGTTATAATTCCAACAGGAGAGTCTGGTAACTATGCAAGCTGTAGAAATCTCATTCCTTTCTGAAGGAATATATAACTCCAGTAATCACTTCCACCATCTGATTCTTTGATACCCAAGGTTGTGATTTTATCACTGGTAATCAATTATGAGTTATTATTCTAGGATCTTTGCATTTGGAATGGTTAGTGTTGGTGCAAATCTGTGAGCTATGGATGACCAAGCCACTCATCTATCAAAATACACTCTCAGACTTTTCTTATAAAACTGTGTTCAAACTAGATATGTGGCACCACAGCAAAGACACAGACAAGTGCATGAAGAACTTTTAGAGACCACAATTGTACATTCTCCGCCCTCTAACACCAAGACAATCAGTAGGGAGAAAAAAAATTATCTATAGGGCTCTCAGGCTACAGCATTCCACAGTCACATGGTTTCAATACTTTCACTCCACACAGTAGCATAATCTTAGTGAATTGGCCCATTATGCCAGTCAATAGGTGGACAATCTGCTAAACACTTCACAGAGGCATTGAAATAAGGCACCCTGGTCAGTAGTTGCATCTAAAATGACTCAATACCATTAAATCCACCTGAGACAGTGCACATGCATATTTAATGAAGACTTTAGCAACCAGGCTTCCTGCCTTTCAAAAGGATACTGCTCTTGATGGAAATGGCTTTCCTAAAATAAACCTGAAATCCCCACATAGACGGCAAAGCGCACTCCATGACTTAATGCAGATAAGAGAAAATGGCCTAACTGTAGATTCTTCTCAGCCCCACTGACTAGTCTCTACTGGCTTGAAGGGGTAATCTGAACAAAAAGACAGTGATGGATCGTGTCACAAAATGAACACTCAACAGTAGCAGGCAGCATGAGATTAGCACTATTCTGTATGATCAGATCTGTATTTCAAACCAGATAAATATAGGAAATCCACAATAACGTTAAAGTAAATATTCTGAAATGGAACTGAGACAGTCTCAGACTGGTGGTCTGTCTTGTTCAGTTTTGTCCTTTCTTAAATATAAATTAAAATACCAAAGCCACTGAATGAGGGTCAGGCACATTAAAATAAGAAAACTGGCACAGTAACTCAAAATAGGACAGGCAAAATGCAGAGAATGCCTTTAGACAAATCAGAGCAGCAATCATTCTTTTTAATTTACTTGAGAACAAGGCTGCCTATCCTGACAGCTGGGACAGGCATTTTCCTGTCAGACAAGCAAATCCAAAGACTTTTGATCAGGAATTCCCCCTATTCCCACCCTGACATGTACCTGTACTCTTGTCCCTTGTGTGGGCAAGAAATAAGATGTTAGGGCTGAGCCAGTATGGCTATGTTCTGCTCAGGAAGTTACAGCAGATGAATCTACTATAACAACTATATTATAAAACTTCTACTCACTACAGAAAGCGACCAGACAACACAATCCACTCACCCAACTGTTGTGCTATTTCAGGCAATTTCTATATACGGTGTAAAGAGGATAGCTAGCCTTTATCTGACTAAGCTAATCTATTGGGATAAATGATGAACACTTGTTTACAAAATAAACATACAACCATGGTTTTTCAATAGTTTCAGTAGCTGAAAGGGCAGGACGTGTATGTGCAACACTGTATGCATACAGAAACTGAGCATCAGAGAGTATTATCAAAGGAGAACTGATAGATAAAAATATGGCTAAGACTAAATCTCACTTATTGCATTCAATAGAAAAGGGCTTTTGAATCAAGTGCAATCCCTTGTGTGGCAGGAATATTTAAATTGCTTCAAATGTAACATGCAGTACCACGTGACCAGGACAGCACTGCAAGATTTTTGCCCTATGTACCTGGGGTGGGAGGGCTAGATCCCAAGAGATGCTGAAAAACCACAATTCCCACTAAAGTCAATGTGATATGTGGTGTTCAGCATCACCTCTAGACGGCACTCAAGCCGTTATATTAATGCTACTACTGTTAACATGAAATTTTATGTAGCAAAGAAGCCAGGTTAGAAAAATATGAAAGCCAGAAAATTTTTTTTTTGCAGGTGGAATGCTTAAAGAAAATTCAAGTAATTCAACTTCAAAATCTGAAGCGAAGATTAAAAAAAAATGCACATAATGAAATAAAGTACAAAACAAAGAGCTATTAGCAGAAGATATTTACCAAGAGATTAAAAAGCTTCTGACTTGCATTTCTAAGGAGAGAAATGTAGAGCACCTTACCTGTTTTATAACTCTGTGATCTGTATATATCCCTGAGCTCTTTCATAAGTCGATCTGAAGCCTGGACTGACCCAGACACTGCACCCTAAAATTAAAAACAGGCAACAGTTAACAGCTTCATTTGTATTACTAATGCTAAAAAAAAAACCTGTATACTCTCAAAGTCTATGCAACTCTATTAAGGTACCACAAAATGGTAGAGTATATTAAATGTCAGGGTGTCCCCCTCCCCCCGCTCCTGCATCCCACTTACCCCATCTTCCATAGAGCAGGGGCAACACAAGACAGAGGGAGCTTCCAGGCAGCAGCAGCTGCAGCTTTGGTCTGGTCTCAGCTTGCTGATCTAATTAACAAGGCAGTGTACTTCTGACCCCACTCTTCATACTTAAAGGGGAATGCACATCTCTCTCTCACTCACACACACAGGGTGTGTGTCTCGGTCTGCCCTCCCTACTTTCCTGCTGCCTTGTACAGTAGAGTGTGAGAGTTAACCCTTGAGGGTTCCGCCAATTGCTAGTTCATCATTTAGCAGTAAGGCATTCCCTGGAAAATATCCTATCCTCTGACTCCTCCACCTCAACCAAGCTTCACAATCATCATCACTGTGTACCAGTATTAAATTGTTTGTTTAAAACTTAGAGCACACGCGCGAGAGAGAGTGTAAAATATAGTCTTTTGTCTGGTGAACATTTTTTCCCAGGAACCTAACCCCCTCATTTACATAAATTCTTATGGGGAAATTGGATTCGCTTAACATCGTTTCGCTTAAAGTCGCATTTTTCAGGAACATAACTACAACGTTAAGTGAGGAATTACTGTACCATTGGACCTCTGTGAGTACGAGTTCTGATCATGACATGCAGGAAATTATCTTTACCCCTTCTTCCCACTGACAAGTTCTTCTAACTCAACTGAATTGATTTTGCTCAGAGTTCTAAAAGGAATTAATCTTTGATTCAAGATCAAGCACTGAAAATTTCTGCACAAAAGGAATTTTGAAGTTTATGAACAACTAAGAGAAGAGGCCACCCCACCGAAAGTTGTCTGTTAAAGTGAGGCAATGTAGTAGAAGATGTAGATATACACACGCATGTGCACGTTGTGTTGAAGTACAATTCATAAAATAAAATAAAATAAAAGCAGTTTATTGTAGTTTAAATACTCTTAAGTTTATAAATGCTGTGATTTAAGTACTCTTCCTTTTCTCAATTAGTTGTTTTTTTGTCCTCCAGACCCCCAATGTTTACCCAGAAAACTGTGAAGTTTGTTTTTTTGCACCCAATTTTCACGCATTTTTTAAAAATTTGTAACAAACATCAATCAATTCCCAGGAAATCATAAAGACCAAACATTGAATTCTGTGAAGCCTATCTTTATTTTATAATTTCAATGGATATCATAAATATTTATTTTTAAGCATGTTTTTCTATTTTTATCTATTTAAATGTTCAGTTACGGGAAATTATAGGATGGTGGTAAAATAATGGTCAACCCCCATTGTTTTGTGACAGTAGATGTTGAGATTAAAAAAGTTAAAGCTTTTAACAATGATAAACACAAATTGTCAACATCACATGTCAAAATATACAAACTATATTATATCCTTAAATCAAACTTCAACAAGTTCTTAGGCAGAGTAAAAAAAAAAAAGTTGCTTATCTGTAAATTTCTTTTATCAATGGGAATATATTTTGTCGGTTTGTGTGTACAGTGAAATATACTGATAATCTGGCCTTCCAAGCCTACCTATACAGTATACCCGTAAAGCACTTGTAGCGTAGACATGGCTCTTGTCTTTCAACCCAATCTATTATATTGTACCAGTGAACACATCAGATGAAGAAAATGCAGGGGCTCTGTAAAATTGCCCATAAATGTAACTGTTATTAATTCCCCTTTTCAGAAGTAATCAGCTCCTTAGAAAAGGGCTGCTAAGATTATGCAAAGTGTATTGTATTATTGCTCACTTCAGACACACAGGAATGACATTTCAGATTCTTGCCTAGATTTACAAACCTGATACCTCATTCAAACTCCTCAATTCTTGTCCCAGGAAATTGGAGAGAACCCCTTACATTAAATGTCAGATGAGTTTGGATATATAAATCTCTAATGATGAGTTCATTAGAAAAGTACCCCATATACTCATTCATAAACCAAATTTTTTTAGTAAAAAAGGAAGCACCAGAGAAGGGGGTCGGCTTATGAATGGGTGTAGAGAGGGAGAGGTGGGACACAGCCCCTCCCCCCAACAGAAGGAGCAAGGAGAGGCAGCACAGCCAGCAGAGAGGAGGCGGGGCCAGAGTCTCTCCGCTTCTGGCCACCCTGCTCTCTCCCCAGTCTCCAAAGCAGCTGCAGCTCCGGGGCTGGCAGGCTGCAGCCGCACCGGTTGGCCCCGCCCCCCAGAGCAGGCTGTGGCCGCGCTGCCCGGTCTGGCCCACCGGAGCAGCTCCAGCCAGGCCAGAGACATCCTCCCCTGGCCCTCCCCAGATAA